ACTTGCTGTAGAACCTTCTTGTGCTCTGTTCCCCCACTTAAGATGGACAGGCATCTGGTTCACTTGATAAGTGGGTCAGAGCAACATACTCAAATGCTACTACAAACAACCCACCAAAATGCAGAATCCAAAAGGCCCACCAGGCCCACCAGGCATTATACCTCTGAGATCAGTGGCAGCCATCGCAAGATGCCATTACATGTCATTCTTCTTTTATGCTCTAGATCACTGTGTGCCAGAAACATCACTGAAATGTTAGGGTCCTCAATTTTCATGGAGTTTGCCTGCTATATTCTGGTTCACATGTATCTTAATAAGGTATCCAGAGTAACTTTTATGTCTGTTCATTTGGTAAATTATCACAATATCATCAATGTAGTGGCCCAGTGTGGTATTTTGTGGAATATCAAGATGATCACAATCTCTGTGAACCATGTTATGGGAGACAGCGAAAGAGTTGATGAGCCCCAGAGGTATGACTGCAAAGCTGTTCTCTTGGTTCTACTGGGAAAAATGCAAACCGCTTCTGGTGGTCCTTATTAACTAGTGGAGAGAAAGGAGCCTTTGGCAAATCAATACTTCATATCCAGGGCTGTGTTCTTTGCTTTAATAAAGATAGCAATGAGGAAGAGCAGCTACATTACAGCATCATGTGATTATGTTTATGACAATCCAAAGTCATTCTGGAACACCATTTCATCTGCTGCATAGGAAGAAGAGGCAAATTAGATATACGCATGTACCCTACATCTTTCAAGTCTTTGATGGTGGCACAATTTCTGCAAATACCCTGCAAGTGTATTGTCATTGGTTTGTATACCAGTCGGGAGAGGAAGTTTTAGGGGCTTCGACTTTGTCTTTTCTATCATAATGGATCTTGTTTCCAAAGTCAGAATATCTATTCTAATTACACGTTCAGCAAAACAGGAAAATACCCATAAGTTCCATTAATGAATCCATGGTCTGCCATGATTCAAACTTGGGCCCAAACTTCATTCATCATCTCACCACTATAGGCCCCTCCTTTCACTGGAATTCTATAATTCTATAATTTGGGTGCTGAGGAAATAGTATCAATTCAGAGCCAAAGCCCAATAATCCCCAAGGGTCTAGGTATTTCCTTTTTTTTCCGGGGTGTAGTGACTTCATTAAATGGCCACACATACCTTTGGGGAAGTGTAAGAAAGGAATCCTTTATTCACTTGTATTGGTGCTGCAGGCTCCCTTCTCAAGGGACTCTCCCTGTCTGCCTACACTTTAGTCAAGGCACTCTGGGTTTGTGAATGGCTTAGGTATGGAACCGAGATAAAAGTTCATGACCCTCCATTTTGAGGTCTTAAGTCCAGACTCTGGCCACAAAACTGGAGATCTTCCTGGTGTAGAGATCAAGTAACATTTCAATAGGCCATTTTCCTCTTTCATTGTAGGGACATCATGGTCAATTAGCCACTGCCAAAGATGCCAGTGGGTCAACACATCTTGGTGACTACTTCTTCCCTATCCCATTATGGTCAGTGGACCCTCTTTGCCTCTGGGAGTCACGGACTGCCAGTTGAACTCCACCATTCTAGGACTCCGCCACCTGCACCCTTCAAATCAGGGAATCCATCTCAGTGATGGCATTTCCTTCCTTGGTATACGGTGTACAGACAGCAGTGTCACCGCTGAGCTTTGCAAAGATGCGGGTGCCCTACTCCCTAATGCGTCTCTCAATGTCTTAATGGATGCAGGGTCTTCTGGTTCCTCCAAGGGAATGCAGTGGATGGGCGGGTGGGTATACAGGCCATGGGGTGATATACTCACTTTAATATATTTGTTTCTCTAAGCTACCGTTAAGTCCAAGGTTCAACCAACCCAACCAACCAAATACACTGAGACTGTATGTATCTGTACTTGTGGTGAGCATAGCATAACACCTACAGTTGTGGAATCACTGTTGTATGCCTGAAACTAGTGTAACATCGTGTGTCAACTATACTCAAATAAAACAACAGCAACAACAACAACAAGGAACCCAAATAACCTGTCAGAGCGATCTGCAACAGCATGAGGTAATACATTAAATTCAGACTCTCTGGCAGGTGCACCCATTTCGATAAATTTGGCTCCTTATGGTTTTTAAATATATTCTCCTTGACGTGACATCATGAAAATGCATCCTCATACAGATCCCTTAGCCTTATGATAACATAGATCGTAAAAATCTTGCAATTCCTTTGGTGCAGGAACGATTTCCTCCAGTCAGGTTTTGTTCTTCTCCCGAAGATGCCGACGTATGTCACCGGGTTTGGGTCTTGTGGCCACGAGGGCTGGCTGAGTTGATCTTAAGGAAAATAGGCCTCCCTTCACATGGAAACTGCCCCCAGGTGAGCCTATTATGTGTCTTTAAGTGAAGGAAGACTTTACTTGATGCATGTTTGGGAGGGTGGGCTGCTTTCACAGGGAATGATGGTTAATTTTGTGCATCAATTTAACTGGGCCGCAGGATGCCCAGGCATCTGCTCCAACATTACTCTGGGGGTGTTTCTGTGAGGGTGTTTCTAGAAGAGATTAGCATTTGAATCAGTGAAGTCAGTAAGGCAGACGGTTTTCCCCCACGTGGATGGGCATCCTTCAACACCCTGAGGGCCTTGAAGAGAGTAAAAAGGTGGAGAAAGGTTGAATGAAGTCTCTGCCTGACTGCTGTTAACTTCGGTCTTCTGCCCTTGGTGCTCCTGGTTCTCAGGCCTCCGTGATTCTTAGCGGAAACCTGAACTGCATTCCACACCATTTGGTTAGGCATTATTGACTCCATTTTACATATAAATACACTGCTAGAGGTGGTTGCTTCCCAATATCCGTGCCCGTCTTCTTCCTAAGGAGTGGACTTCTTACTACATTTGGAACTGTCAGTGTACCTAGCTAAAGGCTTAAAGTCCTACCCTTTCTTACAACTAGATGAAACCGTGAGGCTACATTTTGTTTACGGAGATGTAATTGGAAGCGTTGTGTGGGAATTCTGGGGAGTATGTTAAAGGAACCTAATTTGTTTGGGCTTCTGACCCTCTCCTTTTCATTCTTCCTGCCTCCTGGGCTATGAAAGTGATGGCTGGAGCTCCAGGCACTGTACTGGTTTATGAAATAACCTTAAAAATAAAAGCCCCTGGGCTCAGAATTTGAGAATGAAAGAGCAGAAAGATGGAAAGTTTTAGGGTCCCAAATGACTAGAGTTTACGTGTGATCGAAATACATGCCTATCTTGTTAGTCATTTTGGGTTTTCCTTTATATGTAACCAAGCACAATCCATAACCATTTATAGATACAGGATTCCAGAAAGATGAAACCGATTGCCTCAGATCATGCAATTTGTAAGCAGCATAGCCAGGATGCAAATCTAAGATAGTCTTCCTCTGTATGTCATAAAATATTATGCGATAATGAATAATAATGCATAATATATTTATACCAGTTCATATCAGTTCATTGATTCAACTCACTCTCAACACCACCTTTGGCATAATTTATGGTACTTAAATAAATTAGCAAAAAAAAGATGTTATTTTTTATATTAGTATCAAAGCAGGTAAGACAGTTTTTTTTTTTCATTTTTAAATAAACATGTAAATTTAAGGTGTACAATGTGTCACTGTGATACATTTATATATTGGATTTCAATCTTCTTAAATTTGCTGAGATTTGTTTTCTGTTCTAGCATATTATCTATTCTGGGGAAAGTTCATGCATGTAAGGAGAATGTGTGTTCTGCTGCTATTGGATGAAATGTCCTGTATGTGTCTATTCGGTCCATGTGTTCTAAAGCATGGTTCACGTCCAATATTTCCTTGTTGACTTTCTGTCTGGATGATCTATCTATTGCTGATAGTGTGGTATTGAAGTCTTCTACTATTATTGTATTGTTGTCTATTTCTCCCTTAAGATCTGTTAGCATTTGCTTACTATATTTAAATGCTCAGGTACCGGGAATGTATTTATAATTGTTGTAACTTCTTGATCATTATGTAATGACTCTCTTTGTCTCTTATGTTTTCTGGCTTGAAGCCTGTTTTGCCTGATAGGAGCATGGCTATGCCTGCCTTCTTTTGTTTTCTGCTTGCGTGGAATATCGTTTTCCACGCCTTCACTTTGAGCGTATGTGTGTCTTTAGAGCTGAAATGACTCTCCCTAGGCAGCATATGGTTGGATCATGCTTTTTTATCCATTCAGTTACGCAGTGCCTTTTTGCTGGTGAGTTCAATCCATTTACATTTAGGGTGATTATTGATATGTAAGGACTTACTACTGCTTTCCAATTCTTTTGTTATCTCCATTGTTTCTTTTTTCTTCTGTTTCTACCTTTGTGAGTTGGTGGTTTTCCATGGTGATTTTCTCAGTATCCCTCTTTTTTATGTTTCATGTCTCTGCTCCAGATTTTTGTTTTGTGGTTACCATGAGGTTGGCATAAACCATCTCATAAATAAAATAGTCATTTTATGCTGACAGCAACTTATTTTCATTCACTTATAAAGCCTCCATCCTTTTATTCCTCTCTTATATTGTTAATGTTAAATTAATGTGATTTTGTTACCAAGTTGTAGAGGCGATAGTTTTAATATTTCTTTCTTTTAAACTTTATGCTATAAATGACACCCAATTCCAAAATAGAGTTACTGTTTTAAAATTCTGACTGCCTATATATCACCTTAATCAAAGTTTTGTGTACTCTTGTCTTTTCATTAAAATTTGAACAGCTCCTTCCAACATTTCTTGTAAGGCAGATCCAGTGGTGGTGAACTCCCTTGGCTTTGCCTGGGAAAGACTTTGTGCGTCATATGTGAAGGATAACTCAACTGGATGGAGTATTCTTTAAATTTTTTTTAAGTTTATTTATTTTGAGAGAGAGAGAGCACAAGTGGGGAAGGAGCAGAGAGAGAGAGAAAGAGAATCCCAAGCAGGCTCCTCACTGCCAGCACAGAGGCCAACGTGGGGCTTGAACTCCCGAACCATGAGATGAGGACCCGAGCCAAAATCAAGAGTTGGATGCTTAGCCCACTGAGCCACCCAGGTGCCCCACCCCAAGTTTTAAATTAGATTATTCTTGACTGACAGTTTTTTATCTTTCAATACTTTAAATATGTCATTCTCCTCTCTCCAGGCCTGTAGAGTTACTGCCAAAGATCTGCTGATAGCCTAATGGGAGCTTTGTTTTTTGTTTGTTTTGTTTTCGTTTTTGTCAGTTACTTTCTTTCCTTGGTTGCCTTTAAAATTCTTTATCATTGACTTTTGACAGCTTCACTGTAACGTATCTCGGAGAAGGTAGTTTTGCATTGAGATAATATGGTATTCTATTAGCTTCACGGACTTGGATACGCAGTTCCTTCCTCAGGTTTGGGAAGTGTCCTTAAATAACCTCTCTGCCTTCTTCCCCTCTCCGTCTTCATGTATATATGCCCATTATTCTTATGTTCACTCTCCTAACAGAGTCTAGTAATTCTCAGAGGATTTCTTCACTTTTAAAAGATCTTCTGTCTCTTACACTGGAATCATTTCTAGATTCCTGTCTTCCAGATTGCTTATTCTCTCTTCCATCTTATCTGCTCTATTTCCAATGCTTTCCAATGCATTCCTTATCTCCTTTATTGAGTTCTTCAGCTCCAGAATTTGTTTGGTTCTTTTTTAGAATTTCAGTCTCCTTGGTAAAGCACTCCCATTCATTAATTTTATTCTTGAGTTCACTGAATTGCCTGAGTTTTTTTACAGAGCTTGTTGAATTTCTTCATTACAGCTGTCAAAAATGAGTGACTTCACAATACTCCATGTTTCTATTTGGTTGCTGAAGATCTGTCATTTTCTGTTTGTGATACCGTATTACTGTGATGTTTTTTACTGGCATTCGATGAAACGGGCTTCTGTCGCTGCCCTTGAAATACTGAACACTGTTCACACTTGGGTAAGATTTTATTCATTTGGATTCACAGTTCAATAGGTTGGCAATTAGAAGCCTTTCTTTTGTTTTCCAGTAGGTGGCGCTTAAGCACAAGGTTTTAGTTTCTCTTCCTGGAGCTGTGTGGCCTTTGCAGTTGGGAGCCGGCCTAAAAAGAGAAAGGTGCTTGGGTGGGTGGCTCAGTCGGGTAAGAGTGGGCTCTCAGCTCAGGTCTTGCCCCTGGATTGGGCCTGTCATGAGCTCAAGCCCCCGCGTGGAGCCTACACTAAAAAAAAAAAAAAACCCCCCGGGGGGGGGCTAGGGGCAGAGTCGGGGGAGGTGCGTGCTAGCCCTTGGGGTTGGGCGTGCCCTCCGGTTGCTCAGGTTTGGGGGGAATCCACAGGCAGGGGAATCCCAGGGCACCTAGCGGGGCCTCTTGGCCGAACTCCAGGGCAGACGGCCGGAAGTGTGCTCCTCTAGAGCTGTTTGTCTGCCTTTCTCCCACCCCGCCCCTCCCCTCCCCTCCCCTCCCCCAGTCCGCAGCCAAGGAGGCCTCTCAGCAAGTTGGGCTCTAAGGAAGAGCAGCCAGCCCCTCCAGCTGCAGACGCCTCCCGCCAGTCTCACCCTCCACCTTCTTCGCTGCTGCCTACTGCTGCCGGTGCCACTGTCTCTGCTGCCACCCCAGCGCCACGGCCGCCGCCCCCCTGTTGCCGCCGCCCGATTCCTCTGTCTCTGCAGCCTCCCCGAGGTCCAGCCCCCCCCCCCCCCCCCCCCCGCCCCGGCCCCCTGCGGGGATGGACGGACCGCTTCAGTCCCGGTGGATGTCTGACTAGCTGTAAACGGAGGGGGAGGCACGAAAGCAATGGCTCACGGGGCCGTGACCGTTTTTCTCGAAGGTTCGAACCGTCGGTTTTTGCAGATCACAGGTTGCTTTGCGTTTTTAACTGGGACTTCTGTTTTAACCCCAGCAGTGAGTCTCATCTTCTCAAGCTTGCAGTGAGTGCAGTTCGTGAGAGAATACAACTGCAGAAAGGTCCAGAAATTCTGGGCTTTTCCAGACACGGCTGCCTCTGGTATAGAGCTGCCAGGGGCGCTCTGTGCCTGCTGGGTCGGGAGGAGCCCGGTAGGGGCCGCGACGCCGCTGTCCTTGAAGGCCGCTGTGTCCCTAAGCACAGGCTTCCGGGCACAGGCCCAGAAGTACGACTGAAGGAAATAGCGGAACCTGATCCTTCCTTTTCTCTGAATTCACCCGTGGCCTTTAGTGTTTCAGGCAGGACCTGATCCTTTCTTTTCTCTAAATGCAGCCTGTGTCCTGTAGAGTTTCAGGCAGGGTAGATTTCTGACTCATTCATTAGCCTTTATCTTCTATTTTGAATAATAGTGTCGAAATAAAAAAATTGGGAAGACCACGTGTTAGAAAATGTAAATCTAACCCCAAACGATAAAAGACAATTGATTTCAACCTTCTGAATGGAATGTCATCATCTTTTTCATTCACATACTCACTTTTAAGGCATCTTAGGTATGGTGGTGTCTTAATAATTAAGGTAGTAAATTAGCATAATTAACATAATTGCAGCATAATAAATTAATCTTTGTATTTTGTTTAGCGCTAAAACATATATTGGTGAGTTAGGTTATGATTAAAGATTATACCACTAGGGCCTTGATTTAATTAGTATTCTCTTGACTTGAAAGGTACAGTTGTTAGGTAATAAAAATTCTAAATTGAGATCATGTAGTCACTTTGAAGAAAAAGACACTTTCTTTGGTCTCATACTATACCATAAAGTCTCCGAAAAGAGAGCTGTTCAGAACAGGCAAATCGGGTGAGAAATTTTATATGCTAATGATTCAGTTCTTAGCTAAAGGGTATTTTTAACGTACTAGTAAAGTGTAATAATAACACCATTGATTGTCAGTGCTTTTGAAGATGAGGCAAAAGGAAAGGAGGGGACCGGGGATATCGTGGAAGTTTCACAGTCACAGGTAGGACTGATGCATCTGGAAGGATACATGTGCACACCATTTCACACAGAAGCCCACAGACCTCGGCTACAACACTGGAGGGTGGGGGTTATGGTTGTTTCTGGGCTTGTCTCTTGACCAAACGGTAGACCACCTACCTATCTTGGGACACTTTTGAGAATAAAAAGGAGTCCCTAAATTAAAAAAAAAAAGTTTAAAATATCGATTTATTAACCAACACATTGGTTTATTATAGGGGCAGATCTGCAAAATAATTGCATTCAAAAATCTCTTTCTGAAAAAGAAAAATAGCATATCTTTGTGTATACTGAAGAAAAAGTTTTAAACAACTTTATATTGATTATCCGATCATTCAAGTGGCAAACAGAGTCCTTTTTCTTGCTATAGATTTAAATATTCAAATACTGTAATACTTTATATTCAAATACTTTAATCAACTTTCAAGACCTATCTTTTTTTAAAATACCATGGAGCTGGTATTTTTCTGAAAATACTTTTTTCAATATAGTTATTATTTAAAGCTGTTAAAAATAAAATTGCCTTCGGTCTTTTTCAAAGTTCCATTTGGCTGGGGCGCCTGGGTGGCGCAGTCGGTCAAGCGTCTGACTTCAGCCAGGTCACGATCTCGCGGTCCGTGAGTTCGAGCCCCGCATCGGGCTCTGGGCTGATGGCTCAGAGCCTGGAGCCTGTTTCCGATTCTGTGTCTCCCTCTCTCTCTGCCCCTCCCCCGTTCATGCTCTGTCTCTCTCTGTCCCAAAAATAAATAAAAAACGTTGAAAAAAAAATTAAAAAAAAAAACAACAAAGTTCCATTTGGAGTTAATAAAGTTGGAATTATTGGTACTTTCCGTTGACTTCTCTCTATGGACCGTAATAGTTGTTTTTTTTTTTTTTAATTTTTTTTTTCAACGTTTTTTATGGATGTTGAAGCACTTAGCAATGCTCTATGGATGTTGAAGCACTTAGCAATGGCAGAGTAAATTCTGCCATGTGGAAGATACCAGTTTGGGGATGATACTACAAAACATTCTGGGAGAGCGCAGAGGCATGGAGACAATGTTGGTCTTACGAAGTTAAGAAAGCTGGGGAGCAGAGAAGCCCTTGACTTTGGTTATGATGCAGACATAATTCACAGTGTGCCCACACCAGCTGTGGTGTCATTCCAATATAAAGAGACCGACATAAGGAGAAGCCGCAGCTGTCAAAATGCGCAAGTATTTGCAAATATGCCTGTTTCTGAGTGCATTTTGTTTAATCCGTAAGTGCCTGCATGTGTCCTTGAAAGGGAGGTGTAAGCAAAATTGCTTCTGGAAAGGGTCAGGAAAAGAAATAGGTGATATAGGTATATAGGTATATAGCATGCCGATCTGCAAACTCATTCCAGCTTATTTTCACGCAACTATTAGTACTACTTTGTTAAAAAAAGAAAAAATCCAGGAAAAGTGCCAAACTGGATCATTCCATAAGGACACTAGGCATGATTTAAGACTCTTCTGGTCAGACCAGGACAGATGGCCATCAAAGTCGTGTTATAGATCAGTGCTCTCGAGTACAAACCGAACACAAGTCAGATAGGTGATTTAAAATGGTCTATCGTCCCATTTTTAAAAAGCTACAGACATAGGTGAAATTTATTTTAATCATATATTTGAACTGGCATCTCAGAAATATTATAATTTCGATGGCAGTCTTCATACGATTATTCACGTGCTAGTTCACATTCTTCTTTTTTGTACCGACTGTGAAATCCGGGCTGTATTTACAGTTAGAGCTTCTTTCCCTGTGGACCAACCACGTTTCAAGTGCTCAGTAACCACCCATGTGGTTCGTGGCCACTGGATCGAAGAGCGCAGCTCTTGATGATAAACCTGTGGTTATAAATGTGTGCTACTACACCTGCACGGTACAGCCCGGAGGTGGCCGCGCGCGTTTTGAACTCAGGTCTGATGATGCCAAGGCCGGTGTCCCTTCCACTCCTGTCTCCTGAGGCGGCCTTACTGCTCAGCCTTGGCGATGGGGGGGAGGGGTCAGCTTGAACAGCGCACCCCAGGGTTCCCTAAGCCCACCTTGTCAGAGACAGCGTTTCCTTTCTTTGTCTTCCTTCCCTTCACCCCTGTTCACAGCAAATGCTGTTCTATGTGGGAGGGCAGTTGAGGACGGGGGCCACAGACTGGTTAGAATCAGTGTAGGGAAGGGGCCAGCTCGGGGTGGGGGGCGCAGGCAGGTGGGGCAGCCTGGCACCCCTGGGGGTGCGGGATGGGGGCATTTGCATAACAGTCTGCGTGAATCCCTCCCTGGAACACAACCTGTGTGGCAGTGGCATCAGGGTCCTGTCTTGGGCCGGGCAGTTTCAGGAATTGGGTTTTATTATTTCATTCGGGGCTTTTCAGATCTAGGAATCCCGTTGAAGTTCAAGGAGACCGTCCGAAAGGCACCCAAATGTCAGTGTCTTATTCGATGCTGGGTCGATAGCTATCATTTGCACGTGGTGCTCTTTCCTTGCGAGGAACTAGAACAGGAGACAGAAGCCTGCCTGACGGAGTTCAGTCTTGAGTACGTGTGAAAACCGACGGTGTGGCATATGCTGAGGATAAAACTGCCCTGGGTGTTCTAGGCTGACCCGTGTTCCCTCCCATTCACGTTGGAGTCCTAGCCCCCTGTACTCAGAATGAGACCATATTTGGAGGCAGGGCCCTTAGAGGAGCTGCAATCCGGCAGCCTCAGGCCCTGCCTCCTGTGCTGCGTGGGAAGGAACGATTTCCTGCCACGGGCAGCATCACCTGCGTGTCCCTTCTGTGTGGCTTGGCCACCTCCCTTTCAAACTCCATCCCCGGCTGCACCAGGAACACAGGGCTCCCAGGCCTGGTCAGGACCCACTTTTCTCCTGTCATTTCCTACACAACCGGCTGAAATCCTGAGCTGCCCACAAAGCATTGTAACACTCGATAGGAAGGAAGAGCAGGTTGAATGAAGAATTTAGGTTTGGATTATCGAGCTCATGCACTTTACGTTTTGTTCTTTTAGTTTGTGAAAGATTAGATTTTTTTTCCCACTGTATATTAAAGTTAACTTGTTAAAGCATTTACGTATTTTACTTGAGTAGTAACTTTACGAGGCAGAATGAATACTTTTAGATGTTTCTGACTCTTAAGAAAATGCTCTGTTCCACATATAATTAATAGCCTACTTAAAATCTTTGAGGCCTTTATAGTTCGTTATGACAAGGAAGTTAATTAAAATCAAGCTCCTGTGAAAAAGATTGTTTATAAGTTTAAACAAACAAAATTTCCTATAACCAGTGTGCTTAAAATGTAGTTTCTTACAGCAATCAGAATGTTAAGGTTATAAATCCTTGAAATTATTACGGTGAACCTTTTACAATTGTTTTTGTCCTTTTATTTATTTTTTTTTATTTTTTTTACTTTTTTTTTTAAACGTTTATTTATTTTTGGGACAGACAGAGACAGAGCATGAACGGGGGAGGGGCAGAGAGAGAGGGAGACACAGAATCGGAAGCAGGCTCCAGGCTCTGAGCCATCAGCCCAGAGCCCGACGCGGGGCTCGAACTCACGGACCGCGAGATCGTGACCTGGCTGAAGTCGGACGCTTAACCGACTGCGCCACCCAGGCGCCCCTGTTTTTGTCCTTTTAATACGCTGACAGAAGGAAAGAGATACAGACATACAATAGCTAGAGATGTAACTTATTTTTTATAATAATGGGCAAATATGAAATAACCCTTTTTCTGTCATCCCTTCTTTTAGATCCTTAACCATTACAATGTATTTGTTTAAAATATCTGTTTCCTGGGGCACCTGGGTGGCTCAGTCGGTTGAGGGTCTGACTTTGGCTCAAGTCACGATATCGCGCTTCATGGGTTTGAGACCCACCGTTGGGCTCCGTGCTGACAGCTCAGGGCCTGGAGCCTGCTTCAGATTTTGTCTCCCTCTCTCTCTGCCCCTCCCCTGCTCAACTCTATCTCTCTCAAAGATAAATAAACATTAAAAAAATTCTTTTAAATATCCGTTTCCTTACCATTTCTGTGGAGTGATTTCGGTGGATAGGGTACAGAAAAGTATTATATATATTATGTAATATGTGTGTATTATGACATATATATCTTTCATATCTTCCAATTTTTATTTTGTTTTCCTGAAAAGTTTTCTTTAACTGGGTTGACTCTAACATCTGAAAAAGGGAAGGGACCTTGACATGAGAAATTAGCGGCCTTTCTCATCTGACCCCTGGTTTTATGATTTGGGCCTCCTAAGTGGACCTTGGGTTCGCTTCCTCACTGCCAAGGCCATGATCTTGTTCAGGGATTCCTTTGAAGTGAGATGTACAGGAAAGGGGTGAGGTCATTTGAGGTACTTCTTGGATGTGGTTTTACATGATATTGACTCATGTAGGAAAGGTTATTCCCTTTCACTCTTTCCAATTATATGAAGGAAAGATCTCAGCCTGGAGCTAGTGTATCCCTAAA